TACACAGCTTTGTACCTTACATTGAGGTTGTGGCTTAGTTCTTGATAATTCACATTAATTACTGGGGTCAAGTCCAACAAAAGTTTAAAGCAGCAACAGGAATCCTTCATAGTTCTATGCTTCAGTAGTTGTGTCAAGGATAGTTTCTCCTCTTCAGGTAAACTGTCCTGTATTCACATGTAGCACTGCATTTCCTTACCTTCTGTTAGACATATTGTCTGTGGTTTGTAGAGTATTTTGTGGAATCCTGTGGGGTAGGAATTGAAAGCCTAATAAGTCTTATATTGTATATTACTTAGTAAAATTTTAGCAGGGAGTGGGGGGAAAGGATGGGTATGTATATAGACATACATGCATACATATTTCCCACAAGCTAACTCCAGATATGTGTGCATATTCTGGTGTTTCTAATGAAACTAAGTATTTATTTGCTTTGTATAACTGATTTTTTAAATCTTGTAAGATTCAATTTGCCTTCCATTGCATCAGAGACTTAATAGTCATTTTCTGATGAGAAGTTCCTGGGCAGTTTGCATTGAAGTGTCAGTTCATCACTCAGGCGTAGTGAGAGTTGATTGCCAGCTTTTAATGGACATTCTGACTATAATATATTTTCACAAGCCAGCTACCTCTGCACTAATGTGGAATGCCCTGTGGGACACAAGGAAAACTGACCCTTCACTGGAGAGAGAGAAGAAAAAAAAATTAGAAAAAAAAGAAAAATAAAAAAAGAATAGAGGTCCTTAGTTTCAGAGGACCTGAACCTTTCAGTGTTGGCCTTGGATGAGAGGCTGGTTCTAGCATAATCATCGTGGTTTGTAACAGCTGGGACATAAGAGGAGCATGTATTTGCTGTTAGTCGATTCTAAACTTTGATTCCTGGAATGGATTGTAGGGGAGATTGCACATTTTCTTTTCATAAAAAAAGGCAAAATAATAGCCACAGATTGTTTTTAAAGTCAGTGGATTAGGTATGCTATGTAGATTCTGACATCATGGGGAGGTTCAGCAGTATCAGCTTTAGCTTAGCTTATGTCAGTATTCCCTGTTCAAAACTACACATATGGAGCCGAAACAGAGACAAGCCAGTGTCCTTTGCACAGCTGACATCAGTATTACTCTTGTAATTTAAAATACAAGAAAATACTCCATCTTCACTATGCATTTTTTCAAAACGATTATGGGATAACCATTTTTAATTTACTTCATTCAGTCCAGAAATAATAACTAACTAGATCTTTTGTATTGAGTCTTGGAGCATCAGTATTGTGGATGTGAAAAAGACCGTCCTTCTTCCTGGGACACAGAGTTCTCTGAATCTGCTCATTGAAATAATTTCACCAACATCTCAAAAGCCTACTCAGTTTCTATGGAAGTCAGACAGTATTCAATGACCATAGTACTTAATCTTTTTTACTACATTGTGCAATCGGAAAAGGGAAGCTTAAGTTACTGCGTTTATGTATTTATTTAATATAATGAAACTTTTATAACTACTAGTTTTGTTCTTGGTTTTTGTTGAATTAAATAAAAAATTATGATGGTGGAAAAGTATAAGCCAAACAGTAATACCACAGTATAATATTGCAGTTAATGTTAGAACAACATTCATACAGTCATTCATATAGTCATATTCCTACTCTTTTTTTTTTATTTTCTTTTTAAACTCAGTGTATCTAGGAAATACATAACAGATACTTCTTTTTTTTTAATTGTTCTATCTTATAAATGGAGAGCTAAATGATTTTTATTACAATATCTTGTGTACATGATAAATGTACCAGACATCTGGAGAGAATATGAATCATTGGAGTGGTCTGAATTATACTGAGAGCTTTCAGGAGTAACTGGAAAATAAAACTTTAATTGCTTTATATACTAAAAAAAAAAAAAAGGTTGTAATCTGGAAACATTTTACAGAGTATTTCAAGTACCTGGAAAAAAGACTTCTGGTTTTAAAAAGTAGTTTTGGAAATGTATTCTCTCAGAGCTGCAGTGTATTTGTTGTGCACAAAGTAGCAGCACCAAAGCCACATTCTTTAAGCTCCTTAAACTGGTTCTTAGTTGATGGCTTGATGCCCCTTTATTCTGACTGATGGGTAGATTCTTGATCTAAGGGAAGTGACCTTAGAAACAGCCTTGTCTTTTGCGGTGGATCCCAATATTCAGTTTTGAAATAGTACTGCTTGAAACTGTTCTCAGACAGATCACATCTGGCCTGCTGTGAAAAATATCTCTCAAATGCAGGACATTTATAGAGTGTTCTCTGAGTGTGCTTGTTACTGTCATTTCTTCTACAACCTCAAGAGCTTACTCATTTGCCATGTAAGGATGTCAGACAGTTAAATAGTGTGCTTCTAATTACTATAGAATGTTTCATACAGAATTCAGGCCATTGAGACAGAAGAATTAAGTTGTGGCCTTTTCTCCAAAAATTGCAATTGCCTTCCCCAGCTGCAGATCATATAGACAGGGAATGGCATGTCTGTCAGCCAAGAGGCATGGAAGCTGAAGCCTTAAAATTGAGTGCTTGAAATTGGAAGTTCAGTCAGTGCCGACATTGTCTTTCACTCTCCCTTACACGCGTAGGCAGTAAAAGAGCCTTAATGCAGGTCATCTTATATAGTATTCTGCAAATCATTAGCACAACTGGAAGGTTGAATTTCATCCCATTGTGTTTCCTTGCTATCAAATGTTTAAATCTGACACCTTTATTTTACTATAATTCTGATTTCATGAAGACTTTGTGTGAGAGACTTGCTGTTTCTTGGGTTTTATGTGTACTGCAAAAGAAATCAGAATATGAAATGTGTTAGATACATTAGGTGAGCATTTTCTTCCAACTGTCTCCCCTCTAGTATAATATTATGTATCCAAAAGTCATAAGAATCCGATGTCTACATTTAACTTCAGTCATGTTTTTTCTTACTGATTTGATTTGAAGATTTCACATGTATTTGAATGTATAGGTAGTTCTTCAACTGCTAAAAGTTTTTTAAAATACTATGTTACATAGCTCTGAGGAGGCAGGAGTTGAGAGTTGCTTCTTGTTTTAAAACCTAATTTAATGCCTTCCTAAAAGTCCTTAAAAAGGTTATATAATTTGTTGTTATCGATGGTCAGGGAAGCAGTTGTTTGGAGATTCGGGATGATTTGTATGAACTGTATTTCTGATATACAAGAAAAAACAAGTGTCTTGGTCAGAAAATTATTCTAGTTTTGATAGACGTATATTATGGTCTGAAAATTCATCCATTTTTTTACAAGAGTGTATTAATAAGTATCCAGATAAAATGTAGGGAAGTCTCATATATAAGGCTGGAGGCATTTAGGAATAAAGTTCTTTGCTGGAAGAAATTCAAATATTAAAAAGGAATAAAATTAGATTTAGTGTAAATGGAAGCTTCTCTCGTAACTACATTCATGCCATGGATCAGAAGGAAAAAAACAAATGCTCGGTTTAATACCTCTTCCTTGTTCTTTGTGCTAGGGGGATTTATAATTTTATTCTTTGCAATGCTAACAGCTTGAAAATATGAGAGGATGTCAAAAGTTAAGAAATCACATGATGCTTCATTAATGGTCTTCCTCTGCCTTTGCATCCTCATTGCACTGGAGCAGGCAATTCCATATTGCTGCATGGGCAGGATGTGGGGCAGTGCGTCCTGGGCAGAGGCAGACAAGGAATTAAAATGTTAGATGCAACTTACAAGCTGTTGCTAGAGAGTATAAAGCTCCTTAGTTATTTTTATTAAAAGCATCTTGAATGAGCCAGCCCACAATTCATAAACTGCTGTGTAATCTCTGGTATCCTTTGCCAGAGGCTGGCCAGCTGCCTGTCTCCAGGTCCCTGAATCCCTACTGATCTGCAGGTTTGTAACTGCTGCTTTCACATCTTCCTCCTAGCCAAACAATTTTGGGGCTCCGTTTAAAAAGCAGCAAACCAAAGTGATAACCATATTTTAATAGCCATAGATGGTGTAAAGCAGTAGTAGAAGATGAAGGAAGATACTGGCCATAGTACGCGGAAATGCATTATTTAGGTCCAAGGAAGCCTTTCCACCTTGCGCAATCCAGTTAGCAAATACACAATACAGAAAGTTTTGTCTACTGTTTGAATTTGTAGCTGCATAGGAAAGGAGGTACACTGCTTGCTTTGATAATAGGATTCTGAAATAAAGTTATTTGACATGTTCCTTCACAACATTAAACTGTGATACTCCTCTGTGAGCCCCTCTGAACTAGTCTAAGGTGAATGCAATGCGCAGAACTATTGTTTCTAGCTCTCTCCAGAGCTAGACCCAGTGTCACTACTTTGATTGCAGTATTGTTTCAATCTCTTGCTTTTACTGAAAGCATAGCAACTGAAAATTTTTAATACATGCTTCCCCTGTACAACAACATAGACTAGAGAAAAAGGTAGGCAAGGTATCAAGCTGCTTTTTTTTATGTTAGGAAGAGATCAGTATTCAGGCTTTGCTTTCAGAGCTTTCCTAATCCACCAGTTCCCTTATGTTGGAAGCACAGAGAAGCAACACAAGAGCTTTGCAATTCTCTTTATGCTGGGATAGGAGTACCTTGTTTAAGTAGTCTGATTTTGCCCAGGCCTTGTTCCTTCTGTATTCAGGAACTGCTGTCACTGCAGCATAAACTGAATGCATTACACTTACGACCATAGCTCCTTGCACTTGTGTAACCTATATAATTGGTTCTAAGTACATTTGCTTAATTTTTATGTATTGATAGTCTACATTTATAGTAAGTACACTTTCATTGTATTGTGACTAGATAACTTCTAGTTAATGTACTTCAGGCATTGTGACATTTTTCATTTCTGCCATACCTGATGGCTTTCCTTTTTGTATTCCCGTTTGTTAAGAGTCTGGCTTAGTTCATTGACATTTCTTTAAAAAATGTAAACCTGCAAATCTATTTATTACAATGAATCATTTCCAAAAAGTACTAAAAGCATTAACAATTCTTTTCTCTTTTTCTGCAAGTGGTCTTACACTTTAGAGAAACCAAACACTGGCAGCATATATAATATTGCTTGGTCTATTGATGGCACTCAACTAGCCGGCGCATGTGGTAATGGACATGTCATTTTTGCCCATGTTGTGGAGCAGCACTGGGAGTGGAAGAACTTTGAAATAACTTTAATTAAGAGGAGAACCATGGAGGTAATCTTTATAGTTCAGAGCTGTGTATTCTCATTATTTGCTTTCTAAGGCTTTTTTTAATACAAAATGGGTATTTTTAATCCTTGACATAACATTACGCTTTTTTTTCCCCTGTGTATATATGACTGAAAGCATTTAAGATCATAAAATGGCTAGATTTAGCAAATGGTATAAATAATTATAGTTGTACAGAAGATCAGATCCATGTAAACTAAACCATACCCACCAGATGGACCAGGATTACATAACTCAGAAGTACTCTATCCTCTAGAAAAACACAAAGCTCATTTGAAGAGCATGTGAAATTAGCTGTGAGAGGCCACTTACAAGGAGAACATTTCAAGTGTAATGAAGATGTTTATGCTGAAAAAAATACAAATACATTGGCAAACCCAAAGCATCATATTAAATAGTATTACAGTAACTGTCAGCAAAGATGAAGCTGCATAACTAGGTTTGGATAATACAGAGTAGTTTATTTAATCTGAATTCATGAGTTGTTTGAAGCACTGATGCATTTTGTGGTAGCTAATACTTTAGTAAGGTTTACAGTATACCTGTTGCTAATGAGCTATGATGAATTTTGCTATCTTAGGGCATTTCCAGATAAATTTGGTTGCTGACTATAACTGTAAAGAGTTGTAATGTGCTTTTCTGCACCACATACTGTATTACAGCCTAGAATCAGATCCCTCAAAACTACAGAAATTTGTCATCATATAATATACATCAGGTACCTGCATGGTGCTTCCAGCTGAGTACTGAGCAATAGGCATTGACCTCAGTGGGAGCTGCCAAGTCTCAGCACTGCTGGAAATGAAACAGTCCCCTACATGTGGTTTCTGGAGCTTAAGTTTAGGATCCTTCTTTTGAAAAATCTTGGCCTGAATCCACATTTAGGTTACCAAATATCTGGGAATTAATACAAAAATATGAATTTTTACCTTCTGTGTTCTCAGACACTGACTCACAACATTGACTTTCTGAACACGGGGATAATATAAGATTTCCATTCTTACAAATTTTCCAGATTACGCATTCAGCATTGGATACTTGGCCAATATTTTAAATATCTAAGTCAAGTTCTTAAATTCCTAATTAGGCCCTTAAATGTTTTTTGGAGTCTTGATTCTTTTAATCTTGACTATGTAACTGGGAAAAGTTGTAAACAGAAATGCTGTATTGCAGTTTGATCCAGTGGGTGGGTTAACATGAGTCAGTGTCTGGGAACACAGAAGACAAATTAGCAGGTAGAAATTCATATTTCTTCTTTCATTCCCAGACATCGACTCGTAAGAGATGGGCTCTGTGAATAATCTCCAGGGTGTTTGAATATGCAAACAACTGAGGAAGTATAGCTGACCCTTATTCAGGACTAATTTTTTATTTTATTATTTTATAATAAGTGTTTATAAATATAATGAAGGAAAATATTACCTACAAAATTGTTCAGGATGCATTCCTTCTTTCTAAGTACTACAATAGCTAAGTTAATTATGGGCATACTGCTGCAGTGGACATAGAAATTAATATGTCTTTGGAAATAGTTTCTAGGCTTTCATAATAATTGAGTTCAGTCCTTGTTTTGCAATTCATTGCATAATGGAGAAAATGGAAAAGAAGCTACCACATTCAGAATGGTGACATCTTAAAAAAACTCCAACCACATACCCAACAAAATAAACCCCAAATAAACAACCAACTGTCATACAGTATCTCCTTAGAGTTCAGCTGCCTAAAATCTTCACGCTCAAAAAAACTTTGTCAGTTACAGGCAGACTATGATTTTCTTGAAACATTGTTTGAGTAAATTTTCACAGTAATGGCAAAGGTACAGCCTGTTAGAATCATAGAACCATAGAATAGTTAGGATTGGAAAGGACCTTAAGATCATCAAGTTCCAACCCCTCTGCCATGGGCAGGGACACCTCACACTAAACCATGACACCCAAGGCCTCGTCCAACCTGGCTTTGAACACTGCCAGGGATGGAGCATTCACAGCTTCCCCTGGGCAACCCATTCCAGTGCCTCACCACCCTAACAGGAAAGAATTTCCTCCTTATATCCAATCTAAACTTCCCCTGTTTAAGTTTGACCCCATCACCCCTTGTCCTATCACTACAGTCCCTAATGAAGAGTCCCTCCCCAGTATCCCTCTAGGCCCCCCTTAGATACTGGAAGGCTGCTATGAGGTCTCCATGCAGCCTTCTCTTTTCCAGGCTGAAGAGCCCCAACTTTCTCACCCTGTCTTCATACGGGAGGTGCTCCAGTCCCCTGATCTTTGTGGCCCTCCTTTGGACTTGTTCCAACAGTTCCATGTCCTTTTTATGTTGAGGACACCAGAACTGCACACAATACTCCAGGTGACGTCTCACAGGAGCAGAGTAGAGGGGCAGGATCATCTCCTTCAACCTGCTGGTCACGCTCCTTTTGATGCAGCCCAGGATACGGTTGGCTTTCTGGGCTGCGAGCACACACTGAAGCCGGCTCATGTTCATTTTCTCATTGACCAGCACCCCCAAGTCCTTCTCCACAGGGCTGCTCTGAATCTCTTCTTTGCCCAACCTGTAGCTGTGCCTGGGATTGCTCTGACCCAGGTGTAGGACCTTGCACTTGTCATGGTTAAACTTCATAAGGTTGTCATCAGCCCACCTCACAAGCACGTCAAGGTCCCTCTGGATGGCATTCCTTCCCTCCAGCGTATCAACCAAACCACACAGCTTGGTGTCATCAGCAAACTTGCTGAGGGCACACTCAATCCACTGTCCATGTCAGTGACAAAGATGTTGCATAAGACTGGTCCCAACACTGATCCCTGAGGGACACCACTCGTTACTGGTCACCAAGGCCATCTCCTAAATTTCCCTTACTTCAGAGTGTGGTACCATTTAAAATATGTGCTAGAGTTATTCAACATCTAGGTAATGTAGCTATCCAAATCTTGGATGTTGCTGAATTGTTTTGATGGGATCACTGCAATATTATATTTCAAATATTTAGATAGTCAGCAACTGAACTGAACACTGAGTCTTAAAATGGGAATTTTCACACTTCCCTGATCTCAGATGGTTTTCTCAACCGCATGTGTAGTATTCTGCTTATACCTTATGTATTCCAAATACATGTTAATTACTGCTTTCTTTTAAGGAACTCCATCCAGTTCTTCATTGTTTATTCAGAGTTTATAGAACCTTTGAGTTTTCACCACTGCTGTGAAAGTGGCTGTTCCTACATAGATATGTTCTGCTAATGGCATGGTAGTACCAGCATGTACTTTTAATAAGACAGAAAATGGTATTTCACTAGTTAGTTTTCATTTCAGTTATTGTCATTTTATTCAGCCACAGTTTTCTTTTGATTAGGTGCACAATGTCATTAATGATGCAGTAGATCTATTGGAATTTCGTGACAGAGTTATTAAGGCCTCTTTGAACTATGGGCATTTGGTTGTTTCAACTTCTCTTCAGTGTTACGTGTTTTCGTAAGTAAAATAAATTCTTGAAGCTGTCTCAAGTTTAACAGGTGTAAGGAGTAGCAGAAACATTGTTTAGAGTACTGTAGTTAATTTTTTAATTTTTTAATTTTTAGCTAATTGAGATACTCCATGGAACCTAGCATCGTCCACAGCAAACTGTTGGAGTATTGTTGCCCTCACCCTGTCATCTTTTCAGCTTCTTGCTGGTGCTATGCCTGCCTGTTTATTTGGCTACAAAAATTTGGCAGCCTTTCTTTTTATGTAGAGGCAGCAGGAATAGTGGCTGGGTGTATCTGTGCCTCCCTCTAGGGACTCCTTTTTTTCAATATTGCTTCTGGCATGCAGTTATTTTGGAACAGAATAGGAAGGATTCAATCCTGCATCACATTTTAAGAACATGATACTCTTTCATACGCTGATATTTAAACTTTACTCCTAAAGTCATTTACCTCTTCAATGTCATGACTAATGCTAAACAGTAACACAGCCTGTAATAGAGCACACAGGAGAGGGGCTCTTTCTTACCTCCAGATGACTGTAAAAGAGTTGAACCACAATTCAGAAATATTTAAAAAACACATTTGTAAGTATGATTTCGCTGCTTACTAAGACTTCTAGGTTAGCCGCTGGTAGTGTGAAGGGGTGCAAACATGAAAGCAGAAGTGTTACTGGATCATACTGCATAGTTGTCAGTGTTACTTGGCTTCCCAAATGCTATTTTCCTTTTGAAGACCTCCCTTTTTAGGAATGTTAGATGATTAAAATGTGTATGTTTTACTTAGCAAATTCAACTTTGTATTTTCAATAATATGTGAAGATGAACAGTCTTAATGAATGCTGAGTTTATTTTTTCAGTGTAAAGAACTGGAATACACCACTGATCTTTGACCTGAAGGAAGGAACAGTTAGTTTGATTCTACAAGCGGAAAGGTAGCTACATTATTGTAATGCTCACTATTACATGTGCATGTGCGTTTCCTCAAACTTTGCTCTATAACATAAGCACATATTGAAATACTAGAAATAGGTGTAAAGTATACAGTATTTTTAGGTAGCATATGAAGGCTTAGCTGGTATATTTGCCATAGGTCTGTGATGTTGGTAATGAATCTTCCGTATGTTATGTATGTTTATATTCTCATTTACAGGAGAAAGTATATTTTCTGACATTGTGCTAACATCTGGGGGGGGGGTTATGTTCTATATTACTTTTTTAGCTGGAATATATTTTATATAAATTATCTTTTGTCTCCAGTCTTTATTAAAAACATGCCAGGTATGCCAGATAAAAAGAAAAAAATTTTTTTTACATATTTGTATTTGCAAGAAATTACTATTTTTTCTCAGTTTAAGAAAACTTTCATCTGTAATACCTGAAAATCATTTGTCAAAGAGATCTTCAGGTGTGCTTTTATAGAAGGTCTTTCAAAGCGTTAAGAGCAGAAGTAAAAAATCTTGAGTTTTTGTTATAGTATTAATTCTCATGGACAAGTACTGTTGGACAACTATTTCAGAACATGGCAGCACAATGCTCACTGCATTTTTGAGTCAAGCACTTATGTCCTAGCCTGCAGTATTGCAGTGGAGAACAGGTAAACAAGTAGACAGGATTTTGAAGATCAGTTTCTAGATTTGGAATTTTGCACTGCCAAAAGTAAATTGTGAAAACCTGGCACATATTCTTCAGCAGTGAAGGTGATCCACAGAATTGAAGCTATGGTTTTGGTGAAACCAGTCAGCCTCGACAGTTACATGTACAGACAATGGTTCGTTAAAAGTGTCTTCTATTTGTTTTACATTATAATGTAGACATACTAAGGAAAATAATACAGGTAATACTATTTCAAAGCTAGCTGTAACCATTAAAGTTGTTTCTAGCATATATACACACACAGAGTGTAATCTCACGGGGTGATGTATGGGGAGTACTGTCTGCAGCTTTATGCTTTGTCATCAGGAGTTAGAAGATTTAAATTGTATAATACCTATAACAGATAAAATCATAGTGATTCCAGGTAGTCAGCATTTCTCATGGAAAAAGACCATGTTCACATTAAAATGAAATCTTCCATAAAAAGCTTTTAGTATATCAGGTTTGAAATGTAAGGCTTAGAAGTTATGTAGCTTAACTCAAAGCAGTTGCAGGATATTAAACAGTTGCTTTCTACTTGTTGAAACTGTCATCATGCTCTTCTGTATTACTTAATGATTTACCTTTTTGTTGGGGTTTTATTTGTAGGCATTTTCTTCTTGTAGATGGTGGAGGACTTTATTTATATTCATATGAAGGAAGATTAATTTCCTCTCCAAAATATCCAGGAATGAGAACAGACATTTTAAATGCCCAGACAGTATCTCTGAGTAATGATACTCTAGCAGTAAAAGACAAAGCTGATGAAAAAGGTAAGTTCTCTGTTCTGATAGTTTCATGTTTACTAATAATTCAGTATGAGATTTTCAGCATCTTCACATGTAACTTTACTTAGCATACTAATGCGGGGAAAAAAATGAAGCATAAACAATTTATTTGTGATATAAATTAAATAGTTATAAAAATGAATTAAAATGATGAGTCTTGCTTAACAGTGATTAAGAAACTTAGAGAATGATTGATATGTCTGTGAATTTCCAGTTGTGTGTAATGAATCAAAGAACAGTTTGCAGTAAATACTTGAACAGTAGGTTTTCGCTCTCTGATGTGGTTTTCTAAAGAAGTACTTCAGCAACTTTTTCTGCTTGACTCCTGCTCTTAGACACTTCCAATACAGTAATTGCAGTTAATTTTAGTTTTCAGATGTTCTTTAGCTTTTTTGGGAGCTGTATTTTTACAGCATGGAAGTTTTATATGCAGCTGATACGACCGTAGTTAGGAGTCTGCAATGTTCTGTCTCAGTGTTGTGTTCTTGAATACTTTTGTGCTTGAATTTTGTGTTTTGGCATCAGAACCCTGTAATTTTAAAACAAAACATTGTCAAATGAGAGTCAGGTAGGTTTTGACATTAACAAGTGGTACAGGAATATCTTTTTGTCAGTCAGCGTTTTCTCTTTTCTCTATGCCTTGAGGCAAATGTGTAGGTTTGCTAGTGCAACAATTTAAATTTTGAGTGTCTGGAAGAGACAGACTCTTCCATTGCTGGAAAACCCATGGCACTATGACTTTTGACTCCCTAACTGTGCCATTTATAGACTGTACAGATATGACAGTGCAAGGCGGCAGTGCTATCTGTAGCTGCATTTCTTCTGAGATACGGCCAGTAAGGAGATTACTGGTCGGAGCAACTGTTTGCGGGAGGTGCTGTTATTGCAGAGTGAAACAGTGAAAACTTCCTGCCTGTGATTCCAACTGACACTAACTCAATCTACTGTCTATCTGTAACTGCTCTCCTAGACTTAATGATTAGATTTTAAACATTCAGAATTTTAGAATACTTTGTTTTGCAGCAAAGAACCGCCATATTTATCTACTTTTTGCTATAGAGAAAAATCTTTCAGTGTGAACTACAAAAGAAGATCCCTGGCAGGGAGTTAGTCCTTTAGCACTGATTACGTAGTTGTTTTCTCAACATTTAACCTGCAAGGTAAACTACTTGGTGAATGAATAAAACCTTTCTAACAATCCGTTAAAATATTCCTGCCCAAGCAAGTGAAAAATGAGGTGGGGTTTTTCTCACTTCCATATTACAAAGCATTTTTGCTATTCCGTACAACTTTAATTTTTTTCTTGTATATCCTTATCTTCTGTGTGAGGATACTTTAACTATTTTTAAAGGCAGTATGTATTTTTAAAATGTTTAGAAGTAGTAATATAACTGTAATGTGTATTCTAGTGTTAAGGAAAATTACTTCAGAAAAATACTATTCTCAAGCACCAAGACATAAAAGCTGTAATAACTAGAATGGATTTTAATCAGCAAAAATGTATTTCAGTGTAAATTACTGAGCAAAAAAGCGCAATAGTTTACAAAAGAAGGTTAAGTGATAAACTGTATTTTATTTCTGATCTTGTTTTACTCTGTGTGTCTATATTAGGGTGCATGTATGTATATGACTTAATACACATAATACAGAGACTTTGTTTTATTGTTGTATGGACACCTTGAGGCGGTCAGAATAAAAACAATAGAAGTATTTTAAATAAATTAAGGTTATAGATAAAATTAATCCGTAAGTGTTAACTGCTGTCTGTGTGCATGCATATTTAAGACTGTGATAATAAACTCACTCGCTTGCCCCTTTCTCCTGCCCATTTTCCTGAACAGACTGAAAAGCATCTCCATCTCCCAACCATTCCTATGAGTGTCCTAAAAATCACGTCAGCTGGTTTTATACGCAGGCTAATCTTCACCAAGCCTGTGATTTAGAGAGGCAGGGTTTCTGGCTATGTTTTCCAGTTGAGCTCTCCAAATGATCCTGTTGACAGCAGCTTCCATCAGGGCAATGAGTAGGGGTGGGTTTTTGTTTTTTTTTAGATGTGAGCCCCACTAATAGTGATAAAATACCTTATGATATGCTAGCACATGGGAAAAAAGATGCTTGGCAAAGGAAACCATGGCTTATCTATGCCTGTTTATTCTTCTCAATTCGCTCCAGCAGAAACATTTTTTTTCCTTTGCCCTATTTTGAGGGCATAATGTGCTGCATTATAGAAGTATCTATAATAGCTCAGTTTGAAAAAGGAGGCAGTTTATGCATTGTGGTGTGGAGCTCTCTACAAGCTAATTTACTGTTGAAACAAGGAGATATATGACTTGCTGTGCTTCAGTGTTGTTACCTGGATATTCTTCCTCTTTTATTAAAAAAAAAAACAAAAAACTGGTACCTCTGTGCTTACAGCCCTTCAATCTCTAATGAAGCTGAAGAGGGAGGTGAGCCTGTTCTCAAAAGGGGTCTGGTAACCTTGCGAGTGGTTATTCCATGATGATAGAACATGTGTTTGAAGACACGCAGTAACTGTTCTCTTTCTCTGAATGTTCAAAGTGAGAGAATGCCTTTTGTTTATATCTTTAATTTATACATTTAAAAAAGAGATATATTTTGGGTTCTAAATGATTGTAAAGTGATGTGGAGTTTTTCCAGATTTGGGAGAGCGGTGGGACGACACCAAAACAAAACCGAACACCAAACTTCTTTTCTGAAATATCTTAATAAACATTGTAGATTAATGAAAAATGTTACTTGTCAATTAGGTATAGTGGTTTTCTTTAAAACTCTTTTAATCTTCGTACAGCTAGTATAGTAGCAGTAGAATTGGCTTGTATAATTAGATCAAAATAAATTTCATGCAGGGAGCCCTGCATAAAAGTGAGAAAAATAACGCTTCTCAGGAACAGCTAGTTTTCTTTCATATATTTAGCCTGCTGCCAAGACCAACACATGTGCAAAACCCTTTCTTTTCTTCCTCTGCAAACTCAACCCATGCTTTCTGAACACCTGCTTTTACAGGTTTGTTGGGTTTTCTTGGTTTGTTTGGTTTTTTTTTGACCTCAAACAAACATCCTGCATCCTGGTGAAAGATGCACAGCAGCATTAACGTGTTAACATTGCCATCCTTTGGAATGATGGTGTATATTCATCCTATATTGTATACTTACAGGTAATGTGTTGAAACTAAAGGTGAGAAGCATTATTGAACAGCTGAAATGTTTCTGTCACATCAGTGTTTTCTAGGAACTAACATGGAATCATGTGCTTTAAGTTACAGCTGATGTTCCTCATAATGTTACTGTAGGTTTAGATACATCTGGCTGAATTTGTGTGTATATTATTTGCAGACTATATATAAAGTATGTATGGATGTGTGTGCATCACGTGTGTGTATGTATACATATAGACTGAAACACAGAGAAACTATTTTTAGACAATTTGCAAATTTGAGTCTTCACTGGATATCTCAGAAATACAGATGATGATGGTTTTGGGGGTGTTGAGTAGATTTTTTTCTGAGGGTGGGACAGGGAAAGAGTGAAACAAATGCAAAATCAAAATAATAAGATTCAAGTATATCTAGGTAAAGTAGATACTTTTTGAGGAAGCCAGTTGTAAATGTATTAATGACAAGCAGAAACCCTAAACTGTCCTGGAAGAAAATATGCCTAGGAATCACCGAATTAAAAATAAAAAATAGAGCAATTATTAACAAAATACAGAATTCTTCTGAAGAATGTTTTTCTCAGTAGTTCAAAGGACATCTTTCTATATATTTGATTCTAATTCCTGTAGGAAAATGTATCAGTTAATGGTATTGCTTCCTCAACTTACATGCTAATCAAAGTTGTGGGTTAAGATTGAGTAAATCTGTCAGCCTTGGTAACATTAATTTATTCAGAATGAAGAGTAAAGACTTGCATCAGATAGAACTTAGTGTCATTTCTGTAAATAACCATTTGAGCTGTGACAGGAAGTAAAACCTTAGTTTTCTCAATTCTTTCAGTCCATAATCTTATATTTCAATGGCTATCTATGCTCTGAAAACAATATTTGAGGATTTTCTCAGGTCAGTCTGATTGCAAAATGAGACTGTCCCTAAGCTCAGCAGACTATGGTGGTTACATTTTCCCCAAAGTAATAGTCTTTTTTCACCAGAGTATGAAAGTCACTGGTAAATCTAGCACACACTTGGCGGTAAATGATGCTCTATAAAGGAAAAGAACTGCTTGAAAACATCTATTAAGAACTGTTGCTTTTAACTAATAAACCATATAATTTTTTTTCTTCAGTTATCTACGTATTTGAAGCTTTATCTGGAAAGCCATTGGGTGATGGAAAGCCTCTAACCCATAAGGTAAGGTGAAGGATATAATGTGTCTTTTTAATTTAATGTGTCTTTTTAATTCTATTTTGAAATTAAGAATCAATAGTGGGTTTCCCCAGTAATGGGTCTAATAAGCTATTAAAGGTTTACAGTCTGAATAGAAAGGAGCTTGACAACTCTAGCTGACTCTTATATAATAAAAAAAAAAACAGATTCTTCATGCAGCATTGATGTACAAAGGGACATACTATAAGTTGTGTTCAGTTACTGGCATGTTTCCTGTGCACATAAGAGTTTGAAACTACAGGTAAATTGTTTTGTTATGCACTAAAACTGATCAACTGAATTTACTGTGCATGTACTCCAACTTTTATCAGTGCTGACCTGTTGTCAATACTGAAGAAAAGAAAAAGAACATCAGAGAAGTCTGTCTTCAGTCTGAGCTTTTACAGATTTTACTTAAAATAAAAATTGTTGCCTGAACTGCATTTTACTTTTCTTCACTCCCCTGCTATCCAAAAAAGCAAAATTAGCATATTTTTAAGAGAGGAAGTATCTTTTAGGCAGCTTTTGCTTTGAGAATGCCACCTGTATTTCTGTAGTTTTGTAGTAAATTCCTGAACTGCTCTGTTGCAGTTTTGGTTTAATCTGCATGAAATTCATTTATAGAATGCCTCATACAAACAGAGAATACACAGTGTCTTCATGGTCCAGTTTTTCAAGAGTTTTGTGCCTTGGTTTTTAGTAAAGCATTCATTCGTTTGTATATCACATGCTTGCTGGGATACAAATATTCAAACTAAAACTCAAGATATTTTCTTTTTCCTTTCCAGACAGAAATTGTAGAGATAGCTTTAGACCAGAAAGGACTTACAAGTGAAAGAAAAATAGCTTTTATTGATAAGAACAGAGATCTTTACATTACTTCAGTTAAACGGTTTGGAAAAGAACAGAAGATTGTCAAAATAGGTAAGAAAAATTCAAAATAATGTTTAAGTACAAGCTGTCAGGAAAATAGATTTTTATTTAGTAAAGTAGTCAAAATTTTGATTTTAATCATAAAATTGGACTTGAAGAAATATTAGAAATAGTCCTGCGGCTTTCATAAGATAGTGACAGAAACCACTTTAGTACATTTTATCTAAATCCTGATAATTTTTATATCAGTTACCTGTAAAGTGCTGGTTGTTGCATTCCAGAGCAAGCAGCTAAAAGGATATGGGAGAAGGATGTATTCCTCAGAATTATTCAATACAGAATTTTTCAGTCATTTTTCTTGCAAATGCAGAACTCTGAAGTTCATAATATTTTTAATTAAAAGTTGAAATGCCGTAAACGGGTGCCTGATCCAGTAAGTGCGAAGGTGCAGTCTGACCATTGAGTTAATTTTTATTTCAAGTCTTACAATTAAGTGCAGAAAACTTTTTTATGAAAAGAACTTTCAGAAAGAGAAGTGAATTTGGCTGAAGGTTTGTAAGAGGTTACCTTACAAACTAGGTGGTGAAAAACAGTCCTTATAAAAGGTCCTAAACCCAAACAATAATTATGCTTTTAGTACAGTATGAGAAGTGTCCCTTCTTTTTGAATTTTCTTGTGGAAATGCGTATTATTCTGTTATCTTTAAGGGACAATGGTTCAAACTTTGGCTTGGAATGACACATCTAACATTCTTTGTGGGATTCAAGATACGCGTTTTACAGTCTGGTACTACCCCAACACAGTCTACGTAGATAAAGATCTTTTGCCAAAAACTCTGTATGAAAATGAGGCAAGGTAATATATCCTTTTTGATCAAAGTCATAGTAGTATATATTTTAGCTTTTTTACTCATTCTTTAACAAATTATGTTAATTTTGGCAATTAAAGTAGAAACTAGTGTGCAACTTTAAAAATTCTTTTCATATTACTATTTATGATTAGGAAATGAAGAAGTGTTTTATAGGGTATATCATAAAGTTTGGAGTTTAAATGATGATACACAGTTTAAGAGTACAATAACATCTTGATGCAAAAGCAAAAATAATCATGTCTCATGAAATATTGCTTTAGTAGTTTGTATAAAAAATAGAAAAGATCTGTTTAAAGTATTGAGATACTGGGTCACAGATAATATTATTTCCAGTTCAGCAGGTTTACTTTACATGTTTACTTCAGCCTGTATGCATTGTGAAATTCTTCATGAAGACTACCTGAATTAATTATATCCTCCTAAGAGTGATGAGAGCCCAAGTATTTTTTACTGGAAAATGTATTTGAAAATTTTTTCACATATACCCAGCTGGCATTTGCCTTACAGCCATTGAATGTGGTTAACTATAACTTTATTCTTAGAGAACATTACAACTGCCTGTTGGATTCAACTGTTAAATAACTAGGTGGTTAGATTGTTACATACTCTGAAAATGAAGTATAATCATGTTGTTATTTTGAAACAAAGATTTCTCTAAATTCTTAGTAGTATTTTCAGTAAGAAAGAAGTGAATATTAACTTACCTTTCTTTCTCTACCCAGAGAATTTAGCAAAAATCCCCAGATTGTACATTTTATAGGAAATCTGATAACAATTAGAAGAGCAGATGGTTCACTTATTCACCTTAATATTTCGCCTTATCCTGCGATTCTTCATGAATATGTTAGTAGTTCTAAATGGGAAGATGCTGTTAGACTGTGTCGCTTTGCAAAGGTAATCCTAATTCTATGGAATGTTCAGATGTAATTTCACTGTAATATTTATGTTTTCCAGTATTACTTTAATAATGATAATTGCATATCAGATGTTACATCTCATCTCCATTCTTGTGCTCTGTTGCTGATTATTTGGGGGTTGGTGATGAAAAATCGTATTTTTCATATTTATGTCATATAACATAGACAATTTTGCAAATTTTGCTCTACATAATAAAAATTCTTATTTTTATTCATAACAGAGTCCGGATTGATTGAACACAGGTACACAGAGAAGTTAGTAATAAGCTTAGATTTTCAGGACTAGGCTTTAATATAACTGATTAAAAATTATCTGCATCTCCACAGTTGCCTTGTATTTTTTCATATTTTTATTTCACTTGGTTTTGTTTTGTTTTCCTTTGCTTGCTTTTGTATGTATCTAGGCAACAGCAACAGATGAGGTGAGTCTGGCAGTCTTTTAAACAGGCAAACAAAAATCCCCCCACAACCCTGCTTCCTTTCCCCCTTTTACTTCTAGAAAAGAGTTTAGCACTTTCATGTGATTATCATAAGCTTAAATATGTATTTCATATATTTTTGTATTTGCATTATTAAATCAATACAGATCCCAATAACTTGGATTGTATAATGACTTTTGAGTGGTACTCAAAATAGGTTTTTATTCCAGTATTGGGCAGTGGGTACTGGGATTTCAAATTTCAGCTACAGCATTATGTTAACTTTTTTGAGTTATCTAAATTCATCATCTTCAAAAATAAAATGTCTGTGTCAGGTGGCAATATACAGTTCAAAGTATTTCCAGTAAGTAACAAGAAAACAGACTATCTGAGGAAAGAGGGAATAACAAGAATTGCTAGTGAAAAATTTCTAGAAAATTTGTCAGGCTGAACTTTCAGCATTTTACTACCTTATTTTCTAAATAGTACAGAAGTGGGAAGAGAAGCATGATGATTTTATGAGCATCATTAATGAGCATCTCTGAACAACATTAGTTCTCCCTAATTACAGGCTACCAGCAGGAAGATTTATATTACCCTGAATCATGGTAAAGAGTAGGAAAACACGGCCAGAGAAAGAGCACAGGCAGAGACGGGCTAAATTTAGCCTTGGGCTAAATTACTGTATGTCATTAGCTTCAGTGGGTCTTATCAGTTTTGTTTCATACAAAAGCGATTGTGAGACAGGGCATGGGAGTATGTTTTTAGACCATACTCAGTGTAGCTGTGTATTCTGATTTAGATCAATAGTAATCCTATGCTGCCTCTAAAAACCAATTCACATTGCAAAGTGTTTATTTTCAAATTTGTTATTGACCATAGCAAGGTTGCAATATTATTATTACTACTGATTTTTCCTAATTCTTAATTCTAAATATAAAATGTACTGAAAATAGCAAAGGAGACAGAACTTTTGAAGCTCTTAACAGACTCATCAGGTTAATTGTTCTACCCTTACGCAATTATTTTCTTTTCTCTTTCATTTGTAGTATGTTTATAAGTTATTATCAGCATCCGTGGTTCCATGGTTAGCCAGGTTAAAATAATTTTTCTAACTACAACCACTGCTTTGGTTTCCAGCATAGTTCCACAAGTAGTGACAGCGAAACCGATGGTGAGGTGATAGAGTGATACTATGCAAGAGTTCGTTACTGGCTGAGATGCTAAAAGCTAAGGATTCATTTAGCCACACTGGCAGTCTCAGCTGCTCACAACATCAGTGCTTTTGTAATGAAGGAGTTCTGAGAAATAACTAAGTAGCGAGTTTCTAATACGAGGCTTAGATCAAAAAATGCCGAAAATCTCACACTGAGAAATGTTGTATTGTTATAATTATTTTAGGACTTGTATACTTCCTGTGAGAAGTATTTTTAGCACAGTAATAAATATTTTAGGAGTTTTAGGAGTTGCATTTCTGTTAAAATTCCAGGATCAAACTATGTGGACATGTTTAGCAGCTATGGCAGTTGCCAACAAAGAGATGGCTACAGCAGAAGTCGCCTATGCATCAATTGGTAAGGTAAGAAAAAGGACTTATTTATTTCCAGTTAAATTGTTGTAAATCTAATTTTAATAATTACTTTCTCTTATTAAATTATTGTACCTCTCATTAACAGATTGACAAAGTTCTGTATATCAATTCCATCAAAGATCTGCCATCAAAAGAATCCAGGATGGCTCATATGCTGCTCTTCAGTGGAAACAGCCAAGAAGCTGAAACCCTGCTTCTTCAGACAGGCCTTATTTATCAAGCTATTCAAGTCAACATTAATCTTTATAATTGGGATAGGTAGTATTTCTTCAAACACAGTATGTTTATAAGCAGTCTTACTGAGGTAACTGTAAATTATTCAAGACACTTGCTTTATTGCAGATACTTAGCTGACTAATTTCTTATCTGTAATTGCCCAGAGCTGTAAAAGGATGGATTAAATCATATGCTGATAATAACCAGTGAAGTAACTTTCCGTCATAGTTAGAAGATACGAGTATTCTGTGATTAAAGTCCAAAGCATGCTTGGAAGTATTTTTAAATAACATTTTGCTTTTTCATTATTTTTAACACAGAAACGTCTTTAGTGATACCTCAAGCTGTATGTGACCCTCAAAGAATTAAGGCTATTTTGAAATGTCTTGTTGCTAAAAATAGATACGTGGCTATTCAGACTCCCAGCACTGTGTAGGTGGATGAAGTATGAATTAGGCCTGAAAAAGCAAAGTAGGAATTTCTCCTTTAAACAAAACCCCACATTTTCTAACAGAATCTTCTGAGGCCATTTACTACTAATTTCTCTGCTATTATTTTTTTATCTTTGTGGACAAAAAGTTGTGGGTTTTTTTCTCCTACATAACTGTTTTTTTATTATGTTGCCTAATATGTATCATCTAAAAACTGTACAGATCAATCACAGAATCATAGAATGAATCACAGAATAGTTTGGGTTTGAAAGGACCATAAGATCATCTAGTTCCACCCCCCTGCCATGGGCAGGGATGCCTCACACCAAGTATTCCTTATGCCATTGAGAACAAAGCAGATGGGAGAGTGTTCAATTATACTAATCCAATAGCTAATCTGTACCGCTTACTTAATATTCATAAATGCTCTGTAGCATACACCATAGATATGTACTATGACTCTGTTCAGAAGCGATTCCTGACTGTAATGAAATTATTAAAAATTGTTACTTTTGCCCCTTTATATTGAGAGTGCTGAACTCTAACTATTATGGTTTATTTTCTTGAACTAAAAAGACTCCTATTGTCAAATTCTGATGATATGATGAGGTTGTCAACAGAAATACTTGCTAGCTATTTTTCATAGTATGTATCATAAAGTAGATGGTCTCCTTCACTGGCTACTTTTATTAATCTCCTGTGACTGATACTAATGTAAAACTACTTGACACTATAGATTAGGAATCTTTGCCTGCAGCTCAAACACTTTTCAGCGTATTGTTTTGCAAAACCATGGTGATTGTAGTTGCGCCAGAGCATTTATGTAGCCTGACAAGCCCATTTCTGTTTTATTCCAGGGCCCTAGAACTAGCAGTAAAGCACAAGACACATGTTGACACAGTCCTGGCTTATCGACAAAAGTTCCTGGAGGACTTTGGTAGGAAAGAAACAAACAAAAGATTTTTGCAATACGCAGAAGGTGTAAGTATTCCTCAGAATTATTCTCGCAGCTTTAGGTCAGTCTGTTCTCTGTAGCTGGTTTGGGACAGTGGGGGAAATTGTTCTGATATTTTTTTTCCCTTGGTTCAAATGTGGGTACAAATCTTAAGATTTTGCATCTGAGTACAAGTCCATAGCTTGATGAGTGGCTACTTGGCTAGCATTAGCTGTGCATGTATTTTATTTGAAGGCACAAATATGGTATGTATATATTTAGTAAATGGCAAGAATTACATAAACGAAGGCATAGTTCTTTCCTGTGAACAGGGAGTTAGACAGGCAGGTTGAATGTGTACCTCTAAAATGTCTTCAGTATTTTAATGTATTTTTATGGATAGTAGCAATAACAAACTTTGAAGATATCCATATATACATATTAAGAGTGAACTATGAATTGTTCTGCCAAGTATGATAAATAGCTAAATATACAATTTCATCCAACCTCTGGAAACCATCTCCATCATCAGTAGGTCATTTTCATTTACTAGCATTTCACAGATCTTAAAGACTGAGGACAGATCTTAATAGTTCATAAGACAGAAGTAGCTTAGATTCTGCTCAAGTACTTCTGCACATTTTCTTTATGAGAGGCATCCACATGTGCACCTTAGACAGCAATTCCATTGGGCAGCCCTTACATCCTTCCTGCTCTTCCCCTTGCTCTGTTGCTAAGTGTTCTTAGGGTGAAGCTAATGAAGAGAGATGTGTACTTTGACTGTCTCAGATCTTTGCATCCCGCTGATGAATGAAGAAATACATCAGAGCTGTTAGCTGAGATCATTTAATTGGACAGTGCCTATTACACTTTCAGTAAAGCTTAATATCTAATGTAAGTCATTAGATTTTAGCAAGTCCAAGGATGTTTCATTTCCTAAACAAGAATAAAAGTCTGCACAATATCTGGCTCTGCAATGAACCATTCTGCAGTACTTTACCTAGAAAATACAGGAAAATAGCAGAACAGATTGCAAGCACTCTTACTATGGAGCAGTTTTGACTGCTATACTGGAAGTATGTCTTCTACATAGTTTAAATCCAATATTGAGAAAAAATTATGTTAATCCCCTGATGCTTCTGAAAGAGACTTTGTAGATAATACTGTCTTATCTTGGAATCATCAAGAAAGGTTTCCTTAGCAATAATACCTTGTCAGTGACAAATTGTGAGCAGTGGAGCTTGTTTCATCTCACACTCAGTCTTGAAACTTGGTCTTGAACTGCAGAATGTTCCTGGATCTATGTTCTTGGAGGTTTTGTTGTCTGGATCTGAAACTAGGATGTGACCTGCTTAATAAAGTGGATTTTAAAGCTCTTGGCTACAGTGGTAACTAAATTCTTAATGCAGCCTGTCAGACTGGTATAGCAAAGGTAGTAGGAAATGTGAAGAGCATTGAAGAGAAAAGCAAGATTTGGTGCCGCTGTTCCTTCTCAGGGGAAAAGAGAGGTCTCAGTTTTCCTTGCACCACCTAAAGTTCCTTGAGGCTTAAGTAAGGAGTTTTTACCTCATTTCTGTACTGTAGCTGAAAGCACTGACCTGCAATCAGATACAGAATCTAAACAATGTGCTTCATTGTTATATCTCACGTCTTTATATATGAAGTATTATGAGTGTAATTTATATACAGAGAATCCATATCTTGGCAGTTGCTAGATGTCACTGGCAGGGGTTGTTGGCTTCACTGGCAAGTAGCTCTCAGGGCTGGATGGCAGGATTAGCCCTATATGTGGTATGTTCAGCATCTGTGTGACTTCTGTTAAAGCAAACACATTAATTTTTAGAGTGCCATAAAGATTTCAGTCATCAGATCCAAAGCATCTGGACTCAGTAAATGCATCCTGAATTGACCTTTTCACATGAGAATGTGGGGATTGCAGTTACATCTTTCCTCACAGAGAAGCTTCCCTTTTATTTCATGACTTAGTTAACAGTGTAGCAACTACCCTGAAAATTCCCTGTGCAGCAGCTGAGATTCTTTTCCCATCCCATCTTTGAAAGTCTTAAGTCTCCAGCAATGAAACTGAAGTTTGCAACTACTTTGTTGCCCAGTTTTGGTTTTATTTTATAGTCATCAAATGCACCATGATCCATTCTTGTCAAGCACTTTTGGAAAGAAAGATTACTGTTGTACCCCACTGTACCGGAGATACTGTACTATATCGATTGTCTAAAGTTTCACTGAAATATAATACAACCAGAAGATGACAATTTTCTGCAGCTGGAGAAATGCCAAGATACAGCTAAAACATTTATTGATGTAGAAGACAAATTTAAAGCAGAAATCTGATTTCTGTTATATCAGATAACTAGTGTAATATGCTATCAGCTTACTTGGTGGACTTCCGGTGCAGTCAAAAGACACCGCCGCATGTATTATTGATAAAGGGCTATATCCTCAGTAATAGGACACAGATGTCATTATATTTAAATTAGATACAAGTTGATTGAAGTTCTTTTTTGCATTTTAATGGAGGGGTTTTGCCAGACACAATGAGATGTATTAGTATTTGTTCAAGTATGTCAAGCTTGTTTTATTTTAATGTGGAAAGCTCAGTTTGTTAGAACTCAGCTGTGCATTCATACATTAATATACATTTGTATAAGTTGTCACTTATATGTGAAGAACTATATGATTGGTATGGTCACTTTGTCATTATAACTTAACAATTGTCCTGTTAATGTATCCGTTTGACCTCTCTGTATATGTTAGTTGACCTCTGCGTACTCACTTTTCTGTTCTTACAGCTGGAAGTTGATTGGAATAAAATCAAAGCCAAAATAGAGATGGAAATTGCTAAAGAAAGAGAACGAGCAGCAGCCAGTCCTGCGGTGAGAGCTAGTGTAACTGTACAGCAATAACTGTCCTTTTGGTCACCTTCATAAGTGCTTCTCGAATATATTGTACTGGCATATTTTTCCAAACATTAAAAAGCCACAGCAGACGTTTTCTGGGGAACAGGAGTGAGAATCAATGTAGTTCTTGTTAACTGTTGTAAGGCAGGCAGAATTATTTACTTACTACAGTCTCATTTTGAGCAGGGTTTTTGTTCTAATGCTCTAGGGAGTAGCTATGCTGTAGTCCACAATACATGTATGAGAAAAAAGGGAAATTGACTCTCTTTCTGTTAGTGGCTTTTCAATTTAATTGTCACTAAAATTATTTAACCTTGGTTGCCTCTAATTTAAATACCTATTTTCCTTTCTAAGCACCTAGTTGAGTAGTTTGGTTATTTCTGCAACCTCAGGGACCTCTGAAAAGACTTGTTTAAATTGCCCCAAAACAAATTCAGCAAGCTGTCAGTGTTGAAAATTAAAACAGCTTGCACCTATAAAGTACAAAAGAATATTTTACTCATGGTTGGGGTACTACATATTTCTGCTAGTATGTATGTACGAGCAAGTTCTTTAATAGATCTTTTTATTACTTCAGCAACTAAGGTTTGTCACTAGCAAGCTATCAATAAATGATATTTTCTGAGATAAATTGTTTAAAATACTATGCAATGTGCTTTGAATGTTGCCTGAAGTAACAGCCAGCATTGTTGGTTGGTTTTGTAGTGTCCAACACACATAATTGGCAGTGTTATTGGAAGCTTCCTTAAGGTTCATATATCATACTAATTTCAAATAAAGAAGAGCTTTCTATTTATTTTTTTCTGCCCAAAGCACTTGATTTGAAAAAGACTGTTTTTACATTTGTGTTATTTCATCAAGATATATTTTTGATTTACATATGAAAGTGGCTGCATATGTTAGATGTTATTTGCAGAAGCCCTTTGCATTACAAATATGTGAGCAGGTTTTTCATAATTGACATTGTATCTTTTCAAATGTTGCCATCCAAATGTTAAATATCTGTATATCTGTCAATTTTTTTCTGGTTTGTGAATTATTATGTGACACTGCTTTCATAGTTCACAAAATTCTTAATAAAAACAAGGGTTTTTTTAAAATATGTATCTAATACATGATGCATTAGGTGATCTGCATTGATTTATTTGACTGCTAAATAAAACAACATTTTTGACGTAGCTCATCCGAAGCTCTACAGTATTCTGGTGTACTGACACATGGCAAAGTGAACACCTTCACCTTCCATTGACTTGCAGAAAGCATTTACTAGTTCCAGAATTGAGTTCAAAATATCACTAATGGCAAGTGTCTAATGTTAAATTTATGATGCCTGGCTCAGATGCAACATAGTGCAACAAAAGCAGGTTTTGAAGACTGGTCTAGTGGTAGTACAAAGTCAGGGTTTCAGCTCAGTCTTGCTCTTTTACTCTTGGACCAGTGGAAGTACAGCAGAGACAGCAAATTCACTCAGCTTCTTAAAAATGCCTGGTGCAACAACTAACTGTTGCATAGACTGAGATAAAACAGAGGAATGGGTGCCACACTTGCCACACTGACTGCTGTTCAGGCTGATGTCAGTGTCATTCACAGAAAGTGATACATCAGGTTCTCCATATCTCAGTGGTGATGAGAAGTGCTGTATTTGTAGGTGGTGGGAAAGATTGTTTAGTTCCTAGGCCAAAACACAATAAAGACCTTACAGTATTTATCATTGGTCAGATCTATTTTATTTCCACGCATGTCCAGTCCTGAACTACATGCTATGCTGAGCATCTGTGTGTTAAATAGAAAACAAATCAAAACAAGCACTGGTTATTCTTTCTTTCATCAGGTTCTAATAAGCAGGTAACTTGGTGCAATTCCAACCTTTGTTATGAAATCTGAATTTTAGAATATTCTCAGAAGATAACGTTCATATGTGGCTTACTTGCAATTGTTGCAGCATTTTCACATACTGCACTTGCCATTCCAAGGAAAGTACCATCTGTCCAGTCCAAGGTAATTTTGTACTAGTTTCTCTGGGGGTTTTAAAGTTCTGCATTGCGTTTGTCTGTGCCTGTTTTCAGGCATTTTCAATAGTTTGTTCAATGTCATCTATTTAAGTAAAAGTACCTGAAGGATACATTTATAACAAGCTGCAAAAAGCCTGTGTACCTGCTTCAGAGGGCCATCTTTGATGTATTCAGGTAAGATTGGCGTATTAGCAAGTAGAAAGACAAAACAACTTTTACCCTACTTCTTATGCTTATATCATACTGCCTTTTTCCAAACCCTGATTTAAAACCTTCCAGAGCTGTAAATAAAATGGCTGTTCAGTTGCTGCTTGCATTATTGTCCAATGCAAGAATACTGATTCTTCAATGATTTAAGTATACCTATTTTAAAAATAGCGCACTATTTAATTATTGACTGTTTAATTCAAAGTATCATAAACCAATTTAAGAATGGATTAATATGATTGAAATGTAATTGGTTTACATGCTGTTGTGATGGATCATTTATTCAAATATATTCAAATTTACCACAGCAGGATGGGTGTTGTAGTTTGCGGGCTTTGTTTGACCTTGACCACAGTTTGACCTGGTGTTAAGAAGGGAGATTTAAATGGAAATGTGAAAAATGTATCTTTAAGTGAGGTAAAAGTTGAGTGTTTAAAAGCCATAAATTAATTAGGAAAGCAATATACTGACAAAAAAAAAAAAGTTGTGTGTATTAGGTAGCATTTCTATCTTAAACTCTGCAAACATTGCATTTATCTCTCCTTGGGAAATGACATAAAAACACAGATTCCTTCACCACCCCTCATTCTAGACATGTAATGGGGGACTAACCTAAATAATCCATTAAGGTAAGCCATACCCTTCCCTGCATTGGAGCACACCCATTTTTACTTCCCAGTCTTCATGCATTGTCCCTCATCTGCTGGGTTATGGACAGAGGTTGTTTCGGTTCCCTGTGGACAGTTCTATATTTATGAAGTCTAGCAGCCACCATACACTTCTAAGAGAAGTTACTGGTGGTTGCTAGTGGTGACTGCAATGAAGAACAGTGGAAAGACTCTTTTAGAAACATCCTCTTGAATTTGTGGGAAAAAAAAAAACAATAATTTGAAATTGCTGCTTTAATCTTGCTTTACACCATGGTTTAACTGTGGTTTGCAACTATTCCAGGTAATGCAATTGGTTAAAGAAACATTCTTCATTTTTACCTCTAGCTTAATTTTTTTATGGTTTGCATATTTTTGATAGTTCAGAGGAAGAAGGAAAAATATTTTTTGTGTTTTGGTATTGAAGGCAGTAAGACTTTGAGGTCTTCATTTGTCTGTGGGATTTTATCCTTTGGAAAACTATGAAGTTTTGAATTACCTGACATGAAAACTTAATTTTGCAGTATATATATAACCATTTTCTACTTCAGGAAAGTAATTGTTCATCTCTAAAAGATTCTGCATGTAAGATAACTCTGGGTATATCCAATTTGTAGAAGAGGACAGAAGTTGTGTCATAGAAGCATCTTTGAGGTAGATGAGAGGTAACAGCAGTTAAGGGGTCTGGGAGTTAACGGGCTTTGATTGTAGCTTTGCTGTGGCCTTTCACTGCCTCACTTCTTCCATCTGCAGATGGGAGTAATGTATTTCGCAATGTTGCAAAGTTTGGTTTTGGATTCTATGAAGTTAATGCACATAATACAGTCAGACAGTGGAAAGGCTGACCAGTCATAACTCTAAAGGTTTTCAAACCCCAAACCAATAAACAATAAATGTCATGGTGCTTGATGAAGATTCCCAGTGGTGTTATTCCCTTATTGACAGGTGAAGTCATCCCGTAGTCATCCTGCACACCTGTGCAAGCTGGTAACAGGACCAAGCCATCTCTTCAGCTGAGCCCAGCACCTGTAAAGATACCATTTAGCTTTCAAAAAAAAATAACGGGGATTTTCATCATTTATAAAATAGAAGGCATCATTTTGGCAAGATGTTAATCTCAAGTTTTGCCAGAATGATGCCCTTCCTGCAGCTACAAGCTTTTGAGGCTTACAGGATTAATCAAGCAGCTTAACCATGACACAAGAAATTCACAGATATACCATTAAAGATTCTCCCAAATGAAAAGATTCTTCTGGGCTGTATCAAAAGCAGTATGACCAGCCAGTTGAGGGAGGTGATTCTTCCCCTCCACTCTCGTGAGACCTGCCCTGCAGCGCTGCGTCCAGCTGTGCGGCCCCCGACACAAGAAGGATGTGGCCTGCTGACGTGTGTCCAGAGGAGGCCACGAAGATGATTCAAGCGCTGGAGCACCTCTTCTATGGAGACAGGCTGAGAGAGCTGGGGTTATTCAGTCTGGACAAGAGAAGGCTCCAGGGACAATTTAAAGAAGCCTCCCAGTGCCCAAAAAGGCCGATAAGGAACCCGGAGAGGGACATTTTACATGGGCACATAGGGATAGGACAAGGGGGAGTGGCTTTAAACTGACAGAGGGGAGATTTACTTTAGACATCAGGAAGAAATTCTTTTCAGTGAGGATGATGAGGCAGTGGCACAGGTTGCCCAGAGAAGCTCTGGCTGCCCCATCCCTGGCAGTTTTCAAGGCCAGGTTGGACACAGCTTTGAGCAACCTGGTCCAGTGGAAGGTGTCATTGCCAGTGACAGGGGTGTTGGTGCTAGATGGTCTTTAAGGTCCCTTCCAAACCAAACCATTCTAGGATTCTGTGATAATCTATGCTATCCGCTGGGCTCAGCTGAAGAGGTATTGAAGAGCTAATGCCCATTTGCAAGGAGCTCATATCTGCTGCAGCCTTCCCACTTTAAACCTTAAATAAAATGTTGAGGTATGGAAAAATGAAAAGTACTTGGAAATGGGTGTAGTCTGCCTAGTGATGGATCCATGAAGAAAAACACTCATGCAGTGAGGACACTGCTTCTTAAAATAAACTAGGAGACTTCTTCTTTCTGAGCTTTGATTAAGTGATTGGAGCATGCAAGCCTCCGACATATAAACCATTGCAAATTGTTGCTCTTCCAGGAATTACGGTTTTTGAGGGTTGACACATCTGCAATGAATGGTCAGTGAAGAACTCCATTGTTCATCGTTTTTTTCCAAAGCTGTCATGAGTCATCCTACTTTCATTCCAGATGATAATCAGTGGTTTTCCATATAAATTAACCAATCTGCATATTCATTTCTATTCAAAATAGAACATATAAAATTCTGTGTAAGTGCAAAATAGATACATGTCATGATTTTACCCCATTTCAATTATTGGTTGATTTATATTGATGACTGTGGGGATTAGATCTGCCAACTGTGTTTTTATCTTGCATGTCCATGGAAGTAAGAATTTACAATAAAAAACCCAAGGCCAACTATTTCATAACCACAAGAGAGCATAAGTTCTATTTTACTTTGTGAATTAATATTGATATAATCAATTGAAAAGAAGATTATAGGGTTGATATATCTAGAAACAAAGGCAAGGTCAAAGATACTTTGAAAAGAGTTAACCATGGAAGGAAAACTGGAGAAAATAGGCACTGCAGGATGTTAAATCCTTGATGACTGTGGCCAAGTCCTGGCAAAGGCATGTGCATGTACTGCTCTTCATGGACTGTGTGTAATCCAGCTGGACTCACAGAGTCCTGTGCATAGGAGACTAAACCTTTCTCTCCTGGTATCCTCCTCTTTTTCCCCCAGGTTGGAAGCTTGTAGCATGCTGGATTTTGGCATTTCCTGTAAGGTACCAACCCTGCAGCTGACTGCATGTGGTTACAAAAGAGTCCACCAAGACCTGTGAGAACACCCACGGAACCAGGTTTCCACTAGTTTGCTTAAAAATGATTAAAATCACTGCAGAAGAAAATGCAAAATTCTGCTTGGTGAGCACAAAAGAGCCCAAGCAGGACTTAGCTGTTTGCCGCTGCTCTAAAAAGGGACAAATTTCATCTGCATTATAGCATGCTGTTCTAGGAAGCCAACTTGGCTTGATAAAGTTGTATTGTTTTCAGTTGCCTTATTCACTTCAGAACAGTCAAAGTAGTAAATAACCAATAATGGAAAAGCTAGAAGCTTTCTAAAACAAATGTCGTTCTTGATTATATCACCTAGAGGTAGAGGGACAATTGGGAAAAAGCAATTTATTGATTTTTACATTTCCGGATTGATATTAAACACAGAAATCTTGAGACTT